GGCTCTGAAGCCATGAGTCCCATCCCCCCCCCCCATGCTAGGCCACTTGTTGGGAATATAGAGTCTCAGAGACTGGACTGTGTTTCCAAAGGGTTTTAAAAACATGACCTTTTTGCCGGGCGTTGGTGGCGCACGCCTTTAATCCCAGCACTCGGGAGGCAGAGGCAGGCGGATCTCTGTGAGTTCCAGACCAGCCTGGACTACCAAGCGAGTTCCAGGACAGCCTCCAAAGCCACAGAGAAACCCTGTCTCGAAAAACCAAACCAAAACAAAACAAAAAAAGACCCTTTTAAGATAAATGACCTGCAATGGGCAGCCAGGTACAGTTGGCACTGGCAAGAAATGCAAGGTCCTTATTCTTCACAACAGCCTTGCTCCTGAGGAAACTGTGAGGCAACTCGAGGCAAGGAATGCAGGGGGGGGTCCCATAGATGGGGGTCCCACAGATGGGGGTGACAACGGCTGGGGAGAGTAGTGGCAGTGTGACGTTTTACTCCTTTTGCTTTTTTGAGGGTCCCACCACCCAGCTCCCAAATAAATCACACACAGAAGCTTTTTCTTTTATTCTTAGTTATGAATGTCCGGCCTTAGCCTGGCTTGTTTCTAGCCAGCTTTTCATAACTTAAATTATCCCAACTACCTTTAGCCTCTGGCCCTGTCCTTTTCTTACTTCTGTGTGTTTTACTTTCACTCTTACTCCATTGGCTGGGTGACTGGGTGACTGGGTGACTGAGTGACTAGTCCCCGAAGCCCCCAGCCCCCTCCGTCTCTCATTGCCTGCTCCTCTTCATTCCTCCTTCTCTTTCTACTCTCTGCCTGCCCCGCCTATCCCCGTTCTTGCCTCGCCATTGGCTGCTCAGCGCTTTATGAGACCGGCAGGTGTTTTAGACGGGCACAGTAACACAGCCTCACAGAGTTAAGCAAATACAGCATAAGCAAAAGTAACACACCTTAAAATATTATTCCCAAACAGGGAAGAGCTGAACAAGGGCAAACACCCCTCACCCTACTCCCCGCCCCATCTCTGCCACCCCCCCCACCCCTGTCTCTGACCTTGGTGCCTCCTTTGATCTCTCCATTCCTTTGCAAATCACTTCCGACCCACAGCTTTCCCAGCTTCCTGACTGAGTGGAGACCCTGAGATTCTGAACGAAGGAGAGCCTTCCTGCACAGAGCCCAGCTTCTGAGATAAAGAACATTCTACTGAGGTCTGCCCGTGTTCCTTCTCCATTTCGGCACCATTGGCACTATGGTTTGTTTTGGTTTTTTTCATAGTTAATATGCAAAAGGAAGCACCTGTATACAGTTTAATGGTTTGCAGGTAGTTATGGATTTAACCATCACTGCTTAATGCCAGTGAGAGAGAGAGAGAGAGAGAGAGAGAGAGAGAGAGAGAGAGATGTGTGTGTGTGTGTGTGTGTGTAACACCTAGGTGCTGTTGTGCTCACCTGAGCTGTCACGTGTGGAGGTCAGAGGTCAACTACTTGAGGCATCTTCTATTGCTCTCCACCCTAGTTTCAGCTTAGACAGGGTCTCTACTGTACTTGTATCTTGCCTTTGTTTTAGCCCAGCAAGCAGGCCAGCCAGCCCTCTGGGATCTGCCTCTCTTCCCTGACTCTCTCGGTATAAACTGCCACACCCACCTTTTATGTGAGTCCTGGGGATCCAAACTAGGTCCTTATTCTTGTACAGCAAGCACTTTACCCGCTGAGTCATCTTCCCAGCCCATAATGCCAGAATATTTTCATTACCGTATAAAGAAGTGCCATACCTATTCAACAGTCCCTCGCCACCACACCCCTTCCTGAACCATCTTTTTGATGGAAACAGCTGATTCTACATCGGGTCAGCGCTAGGAAGATTTCCTGTTTCATAAGGACCTAAGCGGGAGCTGGAGCCAATGAAGACTGGTCCCATTGCTTTTCCACAGCTGCGGGGTCTCCGCATAAAGTCTAGCTGGTAAAGCACCTGTCTAGCTTTTGCAAAGTCCAGCATCTTCTAAACTTGACCTATAATCCAAGCATTTGGAAGGTGGAGGCAGAAGGATCAGAAATTCAAGACATTGAGTGAAACAGTCAGCTACCCCAGGACTTGGCCAGTTTTCTCAAGTCCCCCAAAGATGCCGACAGCGTCAGACAACAGGAGGGAGTCTAGAGAATAAGGCGCCCCATTTTTGGTGCCCCCATTCCTGCCTCACCAGCTAGCCCTTTTTATAATAAACAGCAGCCTGCCTCAGCCACAGAAGCCATTACATCATCACCTGTGGTCAGGTGCCTTTCCGCAGTCAGCTTTGTGACATACACACCCTTTAGAAGTGTCCAGGCAAGCCAGGCATTGGTGGCACATGCCTTTAATCCCAGCACTTGGGAGGCAGAGGCAGATGGATCTCTGTGAGTTCGAGGCCAGCCTGGTCTACAAAGTGAGTTCCAGGACAGCCTCCAAAGCCACAGAGAAACCCTGTCTCGAAAAACCAAAAAAAAAAAAAAAAAAAAAGTGTCTAGGCATGGGCTGGAGAGATGGTTCAGTGGTTCATAGTGCTGGCTGCCCTTCCAGGGGACCCTGGTTCAATTTCCAGCACCCACATGACAGCTCACAACTGTCTGTAACTCCAGTTCCAGAGAATTCGACACCCTCACACGCAAACGAAACAACAATGTGAATAAAATACATTTTTAAAAAGTGTCCAGGCACAGCTTGCTCTCTTACCACTCTTGCTTCTCTTGCTTTCCTTCTTCCTCTTGTCTCTGTCCTCTCTGCCTGCCTGCCTCCCTCACGTTCCCATTCTGACTGGGCCCTGTGCTCCTTCACTCGTCCCCTCCCCCAGCAAACCTCCTGCACACGGCTGGTTTGCTTAGTGGCATACCTCGGCAGCACCCAAACAGTAACCCACTTTGCCTTTGTTTTTTAGCCCTTCCAGCCGCAGATACCTAGACCATTTCCAGCCAGTCTCGGGCCACAGCTGCAGAGATTATTGGGCCTGGGGGTGCGGTCTCAAAGGTTGCCACGGAACTCTCACAGCAGAACAGATTCCGAATTCCAATAGGGGTCACTTTTTCTGCCATGCTCCCCGGATGCTGATGCCAGATCCTCGGGGAGGACTGGACTATGCCATGGGGAGCACTGAACTATGTCCATTAGCAGTATTGCAGCGCTGTCTCGATAAAGGCAAGTCCGCAAGACTGGGCCGAAGTTGAAGGCCCTCTGGACTCAATGCCATTGTGTTGTGAGTGAAACAGTTGTGAATCCACACTCAGCATGCCCCAGTATTTTCAACACAGTTCTTTTGGTCACACCCACACATCTCATACTGAAGGGAATAGGGCAGGGAGGCGGTATTTTAAGCAAATAAGGGTTTACCACTAGAAGTGGAATTGGGGAGTTCTCTTAAAGCCAGATCCTGGGGGGGGGCAAACTTTGCTTTGTGAAAACTAGTGGTTTCCTCCTCTAGTCCCAGAAGCTGTGTGTGCTGATGAGGCTGGGAAGTTCTGCTCACTGTCCTCACCTAGATATACAGATACCCATAGTATGCCTGGAAGCTCCTAGAAGCTCGCACAAAGGCCAGCGCTAGTCCACTGTCTCTCTGTGGGATACAACTGTGCTGCCTAGCTTTCTCCGACATTGGCTTGGGCACATTGGTCCTCAATGGCTGTTCCTGTCTCTTAATATCAGAGGGCTGGAGTGGTCAGCAACAAGGAACCCTTCCCTTTCAGAGATCTTTGGGCCACTCTGCAAATGGAGCCTCTATTCCTAAAGTTCTGCAGACCACCAGGGCTACACAAGTCAAGGCTTGCTTGTGTTCGGTGTCACAGTGAGGCCATGCACTATCTGGCCCACAGTGACATTTCTTTGTCTCTCCACAGGACTGTTGCTAGAAATTCCCATTAAATTTTTTCCTTTTTAGAATTCCAATAGGGTATTATGTTACATAAATTTAGGCCCCAAGAGAACGTTCTGTTTCAAAAAGATAGCAGAGCACATATCAGGGACCCAAGGGCTTCAAGAGTGACTAAAACAAGAAACAGGGACGCTGTCAGAACTCTTCTGGGGCCTGGTGGGGTGTCTGGGGGGGTCATTGTGTGCTCTACAGTCAAGTTTCTGGGGCTTGTCCACATCTAGCCAACTCAACTGGCCCTGCCTGGCTTGACTAGCTTCCCCTCCCATAGGCCTGGAAGAAGTAGAGAGACAAATCACAAATCAAACGTCAGTAACAAGCATCTGGTTAGCAAGCGGGGCTCCATCTCTGGTCCGGTTTGCTAAAGAGGAGGTGAGGGGGTGGGTTCCCACTGCAGGCCTGAGCTGTGGGTGGAGCTAGTTCTGAATAAAGAGAATAGGGGCTGGGAAGACAGTTCAGTTGGCAAAGTGCCTGGCTTACAAGCACGAGGACCTGAGTTCAATCCCCCAGAATCTAAAATAAGTAAATAAACATCATCTGGGTGTGATATTTCATGCTTGCAATCCCAATTCTGGAGACACAGAGACAGGGAGACTCCCAGAGTCTGCAGGCTGGTAAGCCTGGCCCACTTGGCAAGCGCTGGGACAATGAGAGACTATCTGGGGTGGGGGCCACGACAGTGCTTGACAAACGGCAGCTGAGGTTGTCCTCGGGCCTCTACCTGCAGACAAACGCATACACACAAAAGTGAAGGCGAATGGTGCAGAAGCCACTGCTGTCTAGAAAGGTTTGTTGCCTTCCACACAAGCTGCTACTTGTTCCCATAGTAACCTCCCCCACCACCGCCCCCTTCCAGGAAAGCCTAGTTGTCTGTCCACAGCACTCAGGATCCTAGGGGGATGATTACCTCTGGAGTCGGTGTCCCCCCCCTCGTACCCCAATAGCTGTAGGAGGGGATGTGAGCTCTGCACAGCCTTGCCCAGAGCAGCTCTGCACCCTCCAGTCAAGTGCAGAGGGTGCCAAGTCCACTTCCACACCATGGAGGGGTGCCAGGCAATTCACAGGTCGTCCCTGCAACAGTAACAGTCATAAATACTCCGCTATGAGATGTGCTCTCTTGGCCCTGGGAGGCTTAAATGGGCCTCTTTATTTCCCAGTCTTCCTGCTAAAGGGGGAGCACAGCCAGGCTGGGAGGAAGGACATTCCAGAAATGCCACAGAGCCCTCAGTGAGCCTGCTGGAGGAAGCACTTCAGAGAGACAGATCTGAGAAGGGGCCCAGGCCCCAGGGCCAGTGGCCACAGGGTAAGGGGAGGGCCAGGCCTTGTTCTCAGAAGAACCACGGGGTCCAGGGCAGGGCTGGCTTCTCATCCAGGCCTGTTTTCCACTGCGTCTCGAATCTTCTCCGGTTGAAATTGGTGGAATGTTACCACACTGTGGCATCTGAGTGAACTCCAAAGACGTAGTGTTGGTCAAAGATCCCTGGGGGAAGAGGCCGGGATTAACTTTAAACCGAATCATTTTCAAACATTCCTCACCCAGCTCTATCAAGAGTGAAGTCCTGCTTGTTTACTCAGTAGGCAAATGCGCCTTTTCTTCAGGCCGGCAGCTGTTAAGGAGTCCACTGGGGCACAGCGATATAAAAGGGAAAAAGAACGTGCTCTGCAAGTAGACAGGTCTCCAGACTGCCTGACATCTTTTTGTTTTCAAAGGGCAGGGCTAGGGGGTGGAACCCAGGGCCTCAAACAGGCTGTCCTTGCCTTCCAGCTACGTTCCCAGTCCCCGAGTTTAGGGCTGGGTTAGCTATCACTGGCCGCACAGAGAGCCTATGTGCTGCAGGGGTAGCTCACTGGAAAAGTGTTTGCTTTGCAATCACGAGGAAGGACCCACATTTTAAAAGAAGCCACAGTTGGTGGTGTACCCTTGTAACCCAGCACTGGGGACATGGAGACAGAGTCAGCTTAATGGGGGATTTCCAGGTCAATGAGAGACTCTGCCTCAAAATGGGTAAGGTGGATTGTCCCTGAGGAATCTGTATACACATGCACTTGTGTATAAACACACACACACACACACACACACAGAGGAATCATGGGCAGGCAAGATGGCTCAGTGGGTAAAGGTGTTTTCCACCAAGTCTGACGACCTGAGTTTGATCCCTGGGCTCCCTGCGGTAGAAGGAGAGAACCAACTCTCGAAAGTTGTTCTCTGACCTCCCCATGTACAGACAAATAAATAGAGAGAAAAGAACAGGAACCCTCTGTGATGCTGGAGCCAAGCCACTGGACAATATACCAACCCACGACTGACATTTCTAGGTGAGTTCTTTTGGCTTGAGAAAGCCAAAGCACATCTTCTCAGTTAAGATTTCCTGAGTTTAGATGACGTAAACACTCACATACATGCACTCACACTTAGTCTCAGTGAAGTGTATCTTTCTCTTAATGTCTGTGCTGCTGGTTTGAGGGGGCTGATGACCCTTGGGCAAGAGGCTGAGGTGGGAGAGAGCTCTTCCTGTTACAGTTGCTTCATTTCCTATCAATAGCAAAAAACAAATCTGGGTTTTATGTCAGGAGGTCCAAGAAGGGGACTGCAGCTTGTGTGGGTCTGTGTCACCTATTTCAGGAACAGGACTGCTGAATCATCATTTAAATTAAACCCAGGCGCTGACAGCAGCCCTCACTGCTGAGTAATGTCACTGAGGGGCCCGAGCCATGTGGCTCCACTGTCTGAGGGCCCTAGTGAAGAAACCAGGAGGGTCAGAGTGAGAGGAAAAGAACACAGACACTTAGAATGGCATCTCCTAACTGACACCACAGTAAAGACAGAGGTGTCAACATTCTGTGAAGTCCAGTTTCAAATTCTAACCCCAAGCCAGGTATGGTGGTGCATGCCTAAAATCCCAGCACTGGGAGAGTGGAGGCAGGATGATCAGGAGTTTATGGCTAGCTTCAGTGAGGCTGAGCTACATGAGTCAAAGCCCTGACAATAGAACTTCCTACTCTTTCATATATAGGACAGCTCTTTATCTAAATGTCGTAGTCTATAAGGCGATTTGATGATTCACAAACGATGAGGTTATCATCAAATGAAAGACGGTGACCATAGTATGTATGTAGCATAGGTAGGCACTGCTATTGGAATTCGTTCTTTTAATCATTATTATTGCATTTCTCTCTCTCTGTCTCTGTTTCTGTCTCTGTCTCTCTTTCTCTCTCTCTCTCTCTCTCTCTCTCTCTCTCTCTCTCTCTCTCTCTCTCTCTCTGTGTGTGTGTGTGTCCACCCACATGTGTGGACATGTTTCTGTCACAGTGCACTGTGTGGCGGTCAGAGGACAACTTTTAAGAGTGTCTCTCTCCTTCCACAAGGTGGGTCCTGAGAACCAAACAGATTCATGTCACCAGGCTTGCCAGGAAGTGCCCTTACCTTCTGCTCCATCTCTCAGGTCCTCGGAATTCATTCTTGAATTGTCCTTTGTACCAGTTGTATTTTCCAGACTCCAGAGCTGCATTCAGGAGGGCAAAGACTGATTCTTTGGCCTTTGAAATTCTCTAAGATCAGGAAGGTGTGTAGACAGCTGTCAGCAAATCCCCACCAGTCAATTCACCTGGCCTTGGGACGTCACCCTAACTATGATTCAATATCTTACAGGTCCGGACATCTGACCAACATCATTGTCATCACACTAAGACAGAGATAAGCAGCAAGGAGCAGAGCCCTGGAAGAACCCAGAACTGAAGCCGACATCTTAGCAGTATGCAGGACGCAAAGCGGACGTGGAAGAGTCGAAGGAGGTGTGAGCTGAGGGTTGCTGAGGGGCCTACCGGTGAGGCGTGGGGCTCAGAGAGGTCTGCATGACAAGTGTGACTACAGGTGTGAGAGGGTCATCTCACGCTAGTTCACCAGTGAAGTGTTATGGAGGGCCGACTCCTCCAGGCAAGCACTGGGCTCCAGGCTGCAGCTACAGTGGAGAGTGTGACACGGTCCCACGGGAAAACGAGCTTCTTATGCAGTTCTATGTGGCACTGGGAGTCAGTGACAATCCAAGAGCACAGGGGCTACAGGGGAAAGAATGGCAGGTGGCGACAGCCCAGTTGGACCTGGAGGCTGAACGGAGGACTCAGCATGGCCAGAGGAGGAAAATGTACAAGACAGGGGGCCTTGGAAGATCCAGGGGCACCGGGCTTAACTGTGGGAGCTGGAGTCCCCAGACGCCTGTGGCTACAGGGTCTGTCATGGGCGCAGCAGGCCCCGGCCTTCGGAACCTTCTTTCCGCAGGAGACATATACTTAGCACTCAGCCAGGCACAGAAGAGGAAAGTCAGACGTGCCCCGGCGACGACAGCAGAAAAAAGGAAAAACCCATAGGAACATCTTCACCATGACAGGTTTGGTGCCAGCTAGCTTCTGTCTCTTGTTTGCAACTTTGGGCCAATAAAGGAGGGAGCCAAGCCTTTGGTTCGGCTGTCCCCTTGGCAGCCTGGCAGGTAGTGGATCGGATTATGTTCCAAAGGTTAACTGTATGACCTCATTCCTGGCACTTCCTCTGGAGCCAGGAATGCTCAGAGTCAAACTCTGTGGCAGGACTGACTACCCAAGTTCTCCTGTGACATCTCTCAGTCTCTGCGGGCCTTAGAAGGGGTCAAAGGAGTAGTGCCTCCTGGACCAAGTGCAGTAGTTGGCAGAGGTCAACACATACCAAGTGTTCACCCTTGAAAGTGAACACACACACACACACACACACACACACACACACACACACACACACACACCCCTATCCACATGCATGCCTCCTCTGCCCTCTCTTGAGCGTATGAGTAATAGGAGAACACAGTAAGTACATCATGATTTGAAGAAAACTAAGCTTGTGGTGTGGCCCTCAGTGTGCACAGTCCCAGCTGGGCGTCCGTCAGGTGGTTTGGTACCTCTCCATGTGGGTCAGGCAGTTTGGTGGATGTGAGAAAAAGCACAGCTGTGAGTCTGTGTGCTCTGTTTAAGGCAGTGTTCCTCAGCCTTCCTGACATTGCGACCCCTCAGTCCAGGTTCTCGGGCTGTGCTGACCCCTAACCATGAAGTCATTTCTGTTGCTACTTCATAGTGGTAATTTTGTTATGAATCATGATGTAAATATCTGTGCTTTCTGATGGTCTTAGGTTAAAGGGGGCCACAACTCTCAGGTTGTAAACTACTGGTTTAAGGGTTCCAGATGTCCAACGTCTCCAATTCAGGAAAACTGTTCTGTCACTCCTGTGACAATGACTCCAGGCTGCAGGTACCACCAAGGCGTGGCCAGGAAGCCAGGCCCAGCAAGGTCCCAGCTCTCAACTCTCTGCTTGTACAGGGAGCCTGAGTGGCCACAGTTGGCACTTGCAGCAAAGGTGGTGTTCCCTGGGGTCAAAGTCAGAGAAAGGCGGAAATCTGGGACGCAGGACTGGGAGGGTCCCATGATGAGACTAAGCAAGCATGTGTTTGGCGTCTAGGATGTGCCAGGCACTGAGCCAGATGACTTACACACATTAAACAATTTAACTGCAGGACAGCCCTGGGACTGGGGCGTTCTGCTATCTTCATTGCACAAGTTCTGACGGGCCTGCCAATGTGCCTTTGAGCCCATGGTGTCATTGCAAAGGTCTTCCCTAATCCATCGCCTTCTCAAACAGGCCTTCTGGGTGCTGTTTCTAGCCCAGCACCCCTTGAGTCTTTTACTTTGCATGATATTTTTCATGGTCCACACATATTGAAAGGAAGAAAAAAAAAAAAGAAAAAGAAAAAACCTCTCGCCCGTTGTTACTCACCACCCTTCTTAGATATAGTATGAGAAATGAGACCTTTTGAGAGCCACAGACTCACCCATGATCTCAAGCCTGTGGCTGTGAAGTGAGATTGGGACTCACAGCAAACTTCCCATTGCATAACTTTCACAGCACTCAAAGCGTGGCAGGTGTTTGAAAAGGGCTCATTGTAGCTGGGAAGAAAGCACTTTAAACCTGTTCCTCAGTTGTGTAATCCACACATATCATATCTGCTCCTTTGTTGGAGAAAAATGTATTTCGTTTACATAGGTATCTATTTTGGGGGGGGTTCGAGGCAGGGTTTCTCTGTGGCTTTGGAGGCTGCCCTGGAACTAGCTCTTTTAGACCAGGCCAGTCTCGAATTCACAAAGATCCACCTGCCTCTGCCTCCCGAGTCCTGGGATTAAAGGTGTGCGCCACCACTGCCTGGCTCTATTTTTTTTCCTTTTTTTAAATAAAGAGGGTCTCACGTATCCTTGACCAGTCTTAGACTCACTATATAACTGAAGCTGGTCTCCATTTCAGATCCTCCTGTGTCCCACGTACTGGGATTACAGGCATGCACCCTCATGTTTGCCTCGTGAGCATCCAACTTGAACAGATGCAGCCACAGCTCAGATCATAGCCACCATAGAAATACTATAAATACACTGCTTCTCTCTCTCTGCATGCTCCCTTTCCTTCTCTTTTCTCATCCCGGTCCCAATAATCACCAGGGACAATGAGTGAGGACTCTTCCACCGATACATAGTAGGTACTTCACATAGTAGGTACTTGGTCACAGTTGCTCCCTTTGTTTCCTCATCTCTCTCGGGTGGGCCAGAGTCACATATCCTCTCAACTCAAGCTTCGGGATGGAGGTCCCCTTCTGCTGAATATAGCCTATCCTCCTTCCCTGCTTTGGGCACTAGCCAAGGCAGCATTTTGCAAAAACGGTGCTTTCTGCATAAGGTACAACCTCAACATCTGTCATTTGGAGTCACTGAGGAGAACAGAGAGAGCCTTCATCCCAGACATCATGCTTGCCAACTGGGAGCCCTCTCCAGAAAAGCTAAAAACAGCTCCTTCTCTAAGACAAGAAAAGTCTTTAATGAGAGTTTTGGTTTTCAAATCAGATATGCAAATAAACTGATAACAATTCTTAAAACGCAAAACAATCTTTAGTGATATTGGCAAAACCTTTGGGTTGTGAGTTCCTGCCTCAGGGAGGAAATGGATTTACAAGGGCTAGGAGGAAGTGAGGATGCTGACTTTCATGGCTATTTTCATTTTCCACTGAAGTCCTGCTTCCTTCTCTGACTGTGTTTACACAAGGAAAGGACAGTTGTTGTGCTGTTATTGCAGATAACCTGGGTCCTTAGGGTACATTCATTTATCTAAATAGGTCTCTAATAAACTACTCAGTGTTCCCAAAACATTGCTCCCTGGCTAGTAATAAGGATAATGGCAGATAAGGATTTATTGAGCAGCTGTTACACAACAGACACTTATTAAGCACTCAGCACACACAAGAAACACTGTGAAGTGTAGGAGACAAGGCACATTGCTGGCTACCTTATACCTGTCCCACACTAAAGTCACATTGCTGGCTGCCTATACGTGTCCCACGCTGAAGTCCCCTACTTCTGAAGATCTGTTGCAAAGACAATCATTAGTATGACAAAGGGGTTGTGTGAATGTATATGTGCACACAGTATTATTTCTGGTATTGTTACCAAACTACAGATACATATGGGACTAGATGAAACTGTTATATTGTTTCCCAGTTCTGAAATATTACATAATCATGAAAATCAAGCTTTTTAGGGGACTGGGATGGGGCTCCCAAAGTTGTTAAGAAAGTCAGGATGAGTAAAATGAAGTTCAATACTAAATAATTATTTTTAAAAATTCTTTAACAAAGTAAGTGCGGATGGGGCTATGGCTGTAGCTCAGCTGGCAGAGCGTTTATTTATTATGCACCAAGTCCTGGGTTTGGCTTCCAGCTCTGCATAAACCGGGCATGGTGGTGCACACCTATAATCTCAGCACGCTGGAGATGTAGGCAAAAAGATCAGAAGTTCAAGTTGGAAGCCAGCCTTATGAAACTCTGTCTCAAAACCAAAGAATACAAACAAGCAAACAAACCCTCAAGCCAAATAACAACGGTTGGTGCTGTAGGCCAGGTGTGGTGGCACACACCCTTCCTCCCAGCTCGGGAACTGGAGGTAGTTGCATCTCTTTCTATATAAGGAGTTCCAGGACAGTCAGGGCTCTACAGAAAGACCCTGTCTCAAAAAACAAACAAACAACAACAACAAAATAATAGATACAGCTTGTATACAGGTGGTATAGTGGTGAGAACAGCTGCTTTCCGAATAATAGCAAAAACTACCGACCAGAATGCATAAAAAAACTTTTTAGAGTCTCTCATGTATTTATGAGTAAGTGCTTAGAGACCCACACCAATGCACTTCTCTGGTTGTGTTGCTGTGGAGGAAAATGTAGATGTTACATTCTAGTTGTCACTGTGGCTGCCAGAGATACATTGTATGTCTGGTCCTGGCAGGAAGCTACACTGTTAGAAGGCCCAACTGAGGGAGAGGGGTCAAAACAGAAGCTGAGGAGAAAGGATCTCACACAATGGGCTACACAGTACATACTGTTGAGTGTGAGAAATTATGTCAGTTACTAGTAATGAAAGTATTAGAGAAAAGAGCAATGGCTTTGAATACTTCTCAATACCCCTGTGAAATATCTCCTCCTCTCCATTTTACAGACAAGTGTATTGACAATTTGTCTCATAAAGGCTATGTGACAAGTCAAGGCTGTCTGATTCCAGGGTTTAAATTCTTTCCCTGAAAGCACAATACACAGTCATGGTAAGAAAACGAAACAAGGTCTCAGATACTATGCTAACGGTCAGTGGTGATGATGTAAACACCGGCAGACAGTTCCACAGACCTCTCTCTCTCTCTGTATACACCCACATACCCTATGGCAATATCAATCTGCTGTTGATGTTTGTGGGGGGCCTGCACCCTTAAAAGAAGCCATGTTTCAACCCTTGCTTATTCTAAAAGGTGGAAGATCCTAGGCAGGAAATAAGATTGCTCTTTGGGAGGAAGAGGCGGGTCCAGGATGTGCCTTGTGCTGCCCAGTGTGGTTCTTGTGGAGGGAACCACTGAGACCATTGGCTCACCACACTGCGATGATGACACAGTGGTGTTTACAGTGACCACTAGCCTCTGAAAGAGAGAGCCCCTGGGACAGCTGTGAAAGAATTAAGACCGGCTCTGAAGAGTGGAGGGCACGTCTCCACACACAGCTCAGAGAAGACTGTCTCGGGGCAGAGCCTGTGGTATCCACACAGCCTCTTAGTTGTATGTTTTGTTCAACAGCGACTGTTCCTGTGTGACTGGAGGGTGACCCACTAGCCTTGTCACAGTTCTAGCCCCGCTACTTCAGGAGACCTTCATCTGAAGGTGGCTCACAATGGAGGTCGTCTTTGAGATGACAATGGTGACATAGGCCTGTCCTAGCAACTGTGAGGCAGCTAGAAGGTCCCTGAGATCTTTTGTGATTTATAAAGAAGAGACTCCAGGCTTCTTCTCTCTGCCCAGATTGACTCTGCACGGAGAAGAAATGGGCCTCTGCCCTAGGAACAGCAATGCCGCTACGCTACGGTCCTGGAGACAGCTAGCAGAAGCAGGCCATGGGGTGGGGGGGGGCACAAAGGGCACAGGCAAGTTCATGGTGTTTAGAGATGGCAGCAAGGACATGCATTGCTGAGTTGCAGACCACACGTCACCACTGGGAGTTGAACCCCATGCCATCACTCTAAGCTATGTACTCCAGCCGCTGGATGAGTTCTTCTACTCGGGGCAGGTGGGGAGCTCCTGGGCTATGGTATGTCTGAGTATTAAGGATGAGTGGCTTTGTTTTGTGCATCAAGCTAATAGCAGTGTGTGTGTGTGTGTGTGTGTGTGTGTGTGTGTGTGTGTGTGTGTGTTACAAAGTTACAAAGTTACAGTATTGACTCCCTGCTTAAAGCCCACCAGTGCAGTCCTTTCGCACAGGCTCAGGCCCCCAGAGCTCCTTTATTCTTGAGTACACCACACCACAGCGGCATGGAAGCCTTCCGGGTCTTTGTGCACGCTTTTGCTTAGAGCGGTTCCTGTCCCTGCACCTGGGTAGCTCTTATGTGTCCAAGAGTCAGTTTACAATGTCCCCTTGCCTGGGGAGCTCTCCCTTGAGCACATTGTCCCCAGGCTCAGCATCTTCCGCTCGGGCCTCTGGAATCACAGCATTTACTGTGCGTCGCTGGCTTGCTTTGTTCAAAGACGGGCCCTCCCCAGAGTGCACTTCATCCGCAGTGGCTAGTGTACATCGTCATGGCCTGCCAGCTGCCCTAATGGTGAGGGTATATAATTTCACACACAGGGGTCGTGCCACAGTTCTACATGTCTGTGCCTTTATTGTGGATGCTCACACAGCAGAAGTCATTACCACAGCCCAGTGAGTGTAACTAACCCTCATTAACACCTCCCTGCTGGACTCTATACCCTGAATATGCACACCTTTTCACTTGCAGTACCTAGCACACAATAGGTATACAAAACTAACCAACCAACTAACCAAACAAGCAACTAAAAACCTGCTTACTGTTGGACCAAGAGAAATGGTTCCAAGCCTTCCCATCCTTCATCCTACACCCGGCTCCTGCCCTGCCTGGCTTGTTCTACCTCTCCCCTAAGGTCCTTCTGAAGTCAGTTATCTTTAGACAGAGGCAGGCTTCCATTCAGAGAGCCCCTGTGCCTGATCATTGGTGGTCCTGAGGTTGTGTTTTCCTGTATGTGTGAATCCTGCCTACAGTCTACTCTCTGCCACTTCCCTGTATTTAATGAATAAATGAACGCATGTATGGTTACATTTCCACTTGGAGACCTACCTGGTAAGGCTCAAGACGGATTGCCATCTGTCCTCATGGACTGCTACAGATCCACGGAACCTGGAAATCTGAATCACAGTCAGAAAAGCCATTTCAGCACATTGAAACAAGGGAGTGTTTTTGTTTTGTTGGTTTTTTGTTTTTGTTTTTTCATGAGATGAAACTGAGGTCCCCCTTGGGAGGGTCACGCAGTCAGTTATATAACAGTGGAGCTGATAGAGTTATCAAGATTGATGCTCATGCATTTCAAGAGCTGTGAGTCACCAAGATCTCACTCCTTTTTCTGGTGTGACATAATGTACTTTCTGTTTTTCAACAAAATGATGTTGATGGTTTAAAATTGTAAAGCACAGGCCTGAAGAGTTGGTTCAATGATAGCAGGCATAAGACCCTGGGTTCCATTCCTAATCATGGCAAAGAAACAAATAAATAAACAAACAACACGCATTTTTAAGTTGTCAGCTTCTTGTTAAAAAAAAAAAAAGAGACATCGAACTAGCTACTTGTGGTGTTATATATCAGAGTCACTGGGTTTCTAAATGATGAATCGTTCCAATAGGACTCATGTTTTCTGGCTCTGCATCTCTCACACTTTCCAGGATGCAATATCTGCCTCCAGCATCAAAATGAATGGTGGTTATATATCGATTCTAGGCTCACTCGTGGGAAAACACTAGCATTTCTAATCAACATCATCGCTTCCTGCTTCTAAGAACTTTCTGGAAGAGGAATAGAGCAGACTTGATGCACCTTTACATAAGAGATCTGATAAGATCCAAAACAGGTTACTAGGAGGAACCTGAATGTCATGTCTGAGTGTTTGTACACATATAAGGTGTGTCTGCAACTGCACGTGAAATACTTGTTGCTTTAGGGCTTTCAAAAATTCAAGTGTGGGGTTGGGGAGATGGCTCTGTAGGTAAGAGCACTGGAGGGCATGAGTTCAGATCCCCAGGATCTATGCAAATAGCTGGAGTGGCTACACAGCTCTAACTCCAGTATGTCGGGAGCAGGGGAGACAGAAGGATCTCTGGGACTCCACAGCCACCCAGCCTAGCTGAAAAAGGAAGGAAGCTCCAGGTGCAGTGAGAGACCCTGCTTTAAGAGTAAGAGAGTGATAAAGCAGGTCACCCCTTCTGTGTGTGCACTGGCATGCACATGTGCATATAGATGATTACACAGTAAACGCGTGCGCGTGTGCGCACACACTCACACACACACACACACACACACACACACACGCACACTGCAAATGTGAACAAAATAAGCAAATTCCTCCAAACCAGTCTCTGTAAGACTATGACCTTGGAAGACATTTGCTAATAAGTTAGTATGGCTTATGAAAATATTTTCATACTGCTGCTGGTGCATGCCAATAATCCTAGCACTTAGGCAGAGGCAGAAGAAAGACGTTCAAGGTCACCCTGGGCCATCAGCCTGAGCTACATGAAACTGTATCTCAAACAAAACAAAACAAAAGCACCAACCAAAGATTTCTCATACATATCTTTAGGGGCTGAGAATTTAGTTCGGTGATAGGATAAGTGCCTAGCATGCCCAGGGACATGCGTTTGATCTTCAACACTAGACAACAACAGTCATGGCTTTTCATCATGTAGTTAGCATTTCCACAGATTGACTTTAAAACCTTGCATGTCTTGCTCATAACTAAATGCTTTCATCGATCCCTTCACTTAACAATAAATGCTCATAAGTGCCCAGAGTATAGCTTCCCAACTACATATCAGTGAATGAAATACATAGAAAATAAAAATAAAAACAAAACCCTTTCCCCCATGAAGTTTACATTTTGAGTGTTGGGAGACTTGGGAAGAAACCAAACACTAAGTAATATATCAGGCGACTATTGATGAGACAGAAAAAAAAATATCATAAGGAGACCAGCATGGGATGCTGGGAGTATGGGGGTGCAGTGATTTTTTTTTTTTTTTTTTTTTGGTTTTTCGAGACAGGGTTTCTCTGTATTGTTTTGGAGGCTGTCCTGGAACTCACTTTGTAGACCAGGCTGGCCTGGAACTCACAGAGATCCGCCTGCCTCTGCCTCCCAAGTGCTGGGATTAAAGGCGTGTGCCACCAATGCCCGGCTGGGGGTGCAGTGATTTAAGTTGGCATTTGAGCCTAGACTTTCTGACGAGAGATGGAGATCATGAAGATATTCTGGCCATTTTAACCTTGTGATCATGTACAGTTTTAAAAAACAAATCCTCCCAAAGAACTGCTGTGCATTGGGCTGTTTTTATGATGGCTATATGGCAGGAAAAAACATTTTCTGAAGTCTGGGGACATCTTTGCACATGTGGACCACAGTGTAGCAATGTCTTCAGAAGTCGAGATGGGTGTAGTTCACTCATTGTACTCTTGTAAGCTTTTTGGTCTCTTTGGTGTTGGTTTGTTTTTGTTTTGGTTTTTATGAGACAGGGTTTCTCTGTATTGTTTTGGAGGCTGTCCGTCCAGCCCTGCCTCGAACTCACAGAGATCCGCCTGCCTCTGCCTCCCAAGTGCTGGGATTAAAGGCGTGCACCACCACCGCCTGGCGGTTGGTTTGTTTTTTTGTTCAGTCTCCTGTGCCGTCTGGTAGTTGCCCTCCTCACAACTTCATGCTTTCCTTGGTTCTTCATAATCTTGGTTCTTCATAGTCTTGGTTCTTCATAATCTTGGTTCTTCATAATGTATTATGGGTTTGTGAGAAGTGGGTCCAGAAGAAAAAAGCTTGAGTAAAACCCTGAAGGGTTTTTTGTTTGTTTGTTTGTTTGTTTGTTTGTTTCCCCTTGCAGGACTTCTTGGTGCTCTAGGACACAAGTAGGGACAGGGACAGAAGTTGCTTTCTCCACTTTCTCCAGAGTTCAAGTGACCATACTTGTGTTCAAGGAGGAGCTCAAAGTTTGAGTGTCTTTCAGAACAGCATTTCTGGGGGGAACAGGATGTGGTATGCTGTTGTGTAGGGCTGGAGGACAGGTCTGCTCCCTCAGGTTCTGTCTGTCAAAGTGACAATTCAAGGCTGGCACAAGCCTGACCGACCTCTACAGAAGGCCTGCTGCATTACAGCGGGCATTGGGTCTTTCATCTCAGGCCAAAGTCAGCCAAAGTGCCAGCCCGGAGCAGCTGCCTCAGTTCCCCCAGCTTCTATATTCCAAGAAGCTTTACTAGGGGACAGAGATCAAAGGAGCCAAACTCGAAGTGGTCAAGTTCCCTGTGGCCTCCCAGGAATGTTGTCCTCCACAAGGGTGAAGAGCTGTGAAATAGGAGCTGTGGTCCTGGAAGGCCACTGACAGGACTAGCTCCATTATTTGACATATGAGGAAACCAAGGCCTGAGAAGAGAAGTGGCATGGCTAAGCTTACATTATGAGCTACACCTCCATCAAATAGCTCTGTGGATCTCACAGTACTTTTCATGCATTGCCATCCTTTTTTTAAATGTATATGTGCATTGGTGTTTTGTCTGGATGTGTATCTGTGTGAGGGCGTTGGATCCCCTGGAACTGGAGTTACAGTTGTGAGCCACCATGTGGGTGCTGAGACTTGAACCCGGGTCCTCTGGAAGAGCAGCCAACGCTCTTAACCACTGAGCTGTCTCTCCAGCCCTGCACTGCTATTTTTGCCATTAATGTTTTACCTATTTTTTTCTCCATGCTTCTGACTTCCTGTCTGAGATCCTCCAGAATTATTGTTCTTTTTCAAGGCCAGTTCGCACATTTTCTGGTCAGAGGATAGAAGGAGAGAGTTGACTCCTATAAGTTGTCCTCTGACTTCCACATGTGCACCGTGGCATGCATCAGTGCCACCCCCCAGTATGCACGCTCGTACACTATGCCTTAGTGAAGGTTTCTCTTGCTGTGATAAGCACCATGACCAAGAGCAACTTGGGGAGGACAGGGTTTGTTTCAGGTCACACTCCAACACTGAGGGAAGTCAGGGGCAGGAACTCAAGGAAGAAATCCGGAGGGCTGTTTACTGGCTTGCTCCCCAGGACTTGCTGAGTCTGCTTTCTTACAGACCCCAGGACCACTTGCCCAGAAACAGCACTGACCCTGTGGGCAGGGCCCAACCACATCAATCAGTAATCAAGAAAATGTACTACAGACTTGCTGAGGATCTGGCATTTTTCTTTTCTTTCCTTCCTTCCTTTTTTATTTTGAGACAGGATCTCACTATGTAGCTATGTAGCTCTGGCTATCCTGGAACTCAGTATGTAGACCAGGCTGGCCTCGAACTCACAGAGATTCACCTTCCTGTGCCTCTCAAGTACTGGGATTAAAGGTGTGAGCCACCATGCCAGGCATGAAGGCCTTTTCTCATTTGAGGTTCTTCGTCATAGACATAGCTTGTGTCAAGCTGGAAAAAAAAATCAAACCCACTAAAAATGAAGTAACACTTATGTTTTTGTATGTATATATATATATGCTATAATTTTAAAAATGTCTTTTATCTTATTTTCCTGCCTTTGGCATTACTGCAAATGAACAGACTTTACAATGCTAAGAGAATAATGACAGGAACAAGTACTTTGCCAAGATTCAAATAGTGCCTAAAATACTCCTTACCAAATGGCTGCCTCACCCAGCACATCTTTACCCGTTCCTAATCTGAGAAGAAAAACCTGCAAAGGACAAAATCATGTAGTGAGAAGACAGCTGCCATGGGACATGAAAAGTGAGCCCCCTGCAAGTCAGGGGGAGGGCAGGGGAGCCAGGAGCCTTGCTCCTCCCCCTTCTGGGCCTTGAAGGAGGCAGACTCTTCCCTTTGTGGTCATCAGTGCATCTGCCTGATGGTTAGGATCCTTCACTTATGATGGTTAGGATCCTTCACTTATGATGGTTAGGATCCTTCATATATGATGGTTAGGATCCTTCACATATGATGGTTAGGATCCTTCACATATGATGGCTAGGATCCTTTACATATGATGGTTAGGATCCTTCACATATGATGGCTAGGATCCTTTACATATGATGGTTAGGATCCTTCACATATGATGGTTAGGATCCTTCACTTATGATGGCTAGGATCCTTTACATATGACGGTTAAGATCCTTCAGACATATTCTCACTCTAGAAACCCAGATTCTTCCCTTACGTGCAACTTTGGTCCCAGCTACATTTCTTCCTGGTCACAGTAACTGGCAGTTTCCTGCCTTCCTTTCCCTGGTCTTGTTCATTCCAAATGGCTTCTATTGTCCCATTTTTCAGTCTATTCTATGAGACACCGTCTCAGTTGTCCTGAGCCTGTCTGATTGGAATTGTTGCATGGTTCTCTTGAATGCCTAGTATTCCCTCCATATGTCCTCAGTGGGTGGCCCTTACAGGTGATCACTACCATTTTATAGGTCAGGAAAGAGAAGCCCAGGGACACTTCCTCTCCCTGCAAGTGGCCTGAGGTGACTTGTGGAGATGGCTTGCTACTCTCTGTCTCTCTCTTTTGTTTTTCCCCAGACAGGACTTCTCTGTGGCTTTGGAGGCTGTCCTGGAACTAGCTCTTGTATGCCAGGCTGACCTCGAACTCACAGAGATCTGCCTGCTTCTGCTTTCCCGAGTGCTGGGATTAAAGGCGTGCCCCACCAATGCCTGGTGGTTTGCTACTCTCTTGACCCAGAAAACCCTACAAAATATGCAAGTCAAGAGTTTCAAATCTGCCCAGGTCATCAAGGGTGTGCATATCCGAAAAGCCACCAAATACCTGAAAGATGTCACTTCGAGGAAGAAATGTGTGCCATTCCAGTGGTACAATGGGGGAGTTGGCAGGTGCACCCAGTGGGGCTGGACACAGGGTCTGCGGTCAAAAAAGAGTGCTGAATTTTTGCTGCGCATGCTAAAAAATGCAGAGAGTAATGCTGAGCTTAAGGGTCTAGACGTAGATTCTCTGGTCATCGAACACATCCAGGTGAACAAAGCACCTAAGATGTGTAAACGAACTTACAGAGCTCACAGCCGGATTAACCCACACAGGAGTTTCCCCTGCCACATCGAGATGATCCTCACGGAGAAGGAACAGATTGTTCCAAAGCCAGAAGAGGAGGTTGCACAGAAGAAAAAGATATCCCAGAAGAAACTGAAGAAACAAAAACTTACGGTACGGGAATAACTTGAGCATAAAATAAATGCAGATAAAAGTAAGGGTCTTCTGATCTTCTGTGGAAGCAGTTTCAGATTGCCTGTCAATCAACCCTGATGGGAGGGGGATGTTTAACGTACTGGGAAGGTTTACTAAAGTGATACAGCAGGGAAACAGAGTGACGGAAAAACAACTAAGCCATAGTTTTATTGAATAGCATTTACTGGGGAATTGTTGTGTCGTAAGATCTTGGGTATATGGTAAGCCTGCCTTTAAGTTACATGAACTACTGCTCCTCTCAGACACGTTTAACATCTTACTGATTTGGGAGGTGGGGCATATCATTAAAAAAAAAAGAGAGAGAGAGAGATGCCCAGAACAGGAAGCCAATTTTCTCAAAGTCAGGAGAGATACAGAACAGGAAACTAACTTCCTCATGGACACAGTGGTTTATATTTATAATTCCAGCACTATGTGGGATGAGGCAGAAGATTAAGAATTCAAAGCTTGAGCTGGGTGGTGTCACGTGTCTTTAATTCCAGCACTCAGGAGGCAGAGGCAGGCAGACCTCTGAGTTTGAGGCCAGCCTGGTCTACAGAGGGAGTTCCAGAAGAACGAGGGCTACACAGAGAAACCCTGTTTCAAAACAAAACAAAACAAAACAAAACAAAACAAAACAAAACAAAGCAAGAATTCAAAGGCAGGTTGGGCTACATGCGGAGCTCCAGCAAGCCTTACCTTCACTAAGACCCTGTCTAAACAAAACAAAACAAGCATTCAGGCAAAGATGTTAAGCATTAATACTATTTCCATTTCCTCATGATCCAGGAACTCACACTGAGGAATTCTGTGAGCTGGGTTCCAAGAGTGGGTATTGACTTACACAGTAGAAGTGGCCTCCATGTTGGCATATTCAGTGATATGGACAAGACTGAAGGAAGACAAGGAACGCTGGAACGCTGAGGCCCTCAGACATCAGCGACAATGGGAAGCCTATTGGGAAGCGAGGATGAAGTGACCCAAGGAGAAGGGAGAGGACCTGCCAGGAGGACAGAATTACTGCAGAAAACAAGCCGGGGTGGAGGGCAAGCAACTTGTTCCTCAGCCCCTTTCTGAGGAATCCCCCCTCAGTGGGCCCAACTGTAAGACGGGTCACTAGGAGCTCAGGAAGACAGGCCGTGGAAGTCATGCTGGACACAGACAGGTGAACAGCTCATATCGAAGCAAATAGAACATCCAGTGCATTCCCAGCTAGAGAGCAGGGGAATTGGGATGCTCACTCTGCCTGTAGAGAGACCCCCATTCGTATCCAGGGCCTTTTTAGTGTACCACATGGCTTGGATGGGCTCTATGCTCACTGCCTCGTCAGCTCTTCCTCAGGCAACAGATACTCCGAGCTTGCACTGATTCCCTGTCTCCACGTCTTTTTTTTTTTTTTTTTTTTTTAGTTTTTTGAGACAGGGTTTCTCTGTGGCTTTGGAGGCTGTCCTGGAACTTATTCTTGTAGACCAGACTGGTCTCGAACTCACAGAGATCTTCCTGCTTCTGCCTTGAGAGTGCTGGGATTTAAGGTGTGTGACACCACCACCCGGCTGACCTTGACTTTCTTATCTCTAAAGTTCCTGTAATGCCAGGCATGGTCTCCCAAACACAGAAACATTGGGCCCATTTTGATAATTAATCAGTAACTCCACCAAGGACCACAGTGACCTGTGCTAAACCGGGCTGCTGCGGTCACCACGGAGATACTAAGAGTGGGTGTTGATGTTCTAACCACTGAGACACTTGCCTGTCATCTTGGAGTGTAAGTGGGGTCATCATGAGGACTGGGACTTCTTAAAGCTGCGGGATTGGCGTCGTGTCCATGGGCATAATGCCCTCGGCCGGTGTCTCTGCCTAGGCACAGCTGCTGCTTTGAGAGCTGTGTGTCAAAGCTGATGGAAACAATTAACTCTCTCCTTCATACTCGTGTCTCTCACCTGCCATGCAGGGAGAGAAACTGAGATTTGAGGAGCCTTTCCTTGAAGGGCATGATGGCAACAAACGGTAAGCAACCAGGGGGTGTCTCACAGCTGTGTGGCCCTCAGCTGTCTAACTCTGCCAACGGCTATGCTGCCTCTGGGTGTTCAGAGGCCATGGTCACCGGTTCTTGGCTTTGGAGTAGTTGCCACATATAGAAAGGGGTAACCAGGGGCTACCTTACTCCAACCATAAGTAATGGTTGCCCTTCTTCACTGATGGAGGCTGGGGAAGTCTCAGTCCATCTTAATGCCTTTCTCCTCTCCCTGACAGGCTCAAGACACAACCAGAACTGGAACTAGCCAGAACTGTCAAACACTGTGAGAAGATAAACTTCCCACTCTGTGTGTGTTTTCTGCCTGCCAGCCTGCCTGCCTGCCTGCCTGCCTGCCTGCCTGCCTGCCTGCCTGCCTGTCTGTCTGTCTGTCTGTCTGTCTGTCTGTCTCTCTCTCTCTTTTCTCTGTATCTGTCTGCCTCTCTTTTCTCTGTGTCTGTCTCTGTGTATCTGGCTCTCTCTCTATCTCTGTGTGTGCGACACACACACACACACACACACACACACACACAGACACTTGGATATTTGCATGGCCCCTTCTCCTGTGTTTTCTGATTGTAATTCTAACACTACTTCTGCAGACCAGGAAGCAAAGCTCAGCAAGGTCACATGATCCACCCATGGTTGCCCGGCTGAGAGGTAATCAGCATTGAATATCTATCCTCTCTTGGATAAGGAGCTTAATAAAGACCCATAGAGAATTTGCTCTGTTGCCATCATTGTGCAATCAGCCTCTGAGTATAAGTGAATGAGTACTTGAAAGAAACAGTGCTGAGGCCCCACTGGCTGCTGGGAAGTGTGAGCTTGTCTTCATGGAGCTTGGACTCAGTACACTGAACCCTGTACGAACTTTCTCCTATTTGTCCTCCACGAACATCCTAGGAGAGAAGAAGCGAGGGAGAAAGACACAGAGAGAAAGAGAGAGACATAGAGACAGAGACACACAGAGAGACAGACAGACACAGAGACAGAGAGACAGAGAGACACAGAAACACAGACAGAGAAAGAGAGACAAAGAGAGAGACACACAGACACAGAGAGAGATAGAGACAGACAGACAGACAGACACACATACACACACACACACACACACACAGAAGATCACAGAAATGAGTTGGTTTACACATCCAGAAAGGGCCCAAGTGGGATCTGAAAGGAAATTTTCGTGACTCTATGGAAGGATCTTCCCCACAGTGCTCACAGCTGGAGAGGTGGCCTGCCCATGACCTCATCTGCAGGGCTGGGTTACCAGCAGGCTGGCTTCTGTGCTTACTCCTTGGAGGCCAAAGCAGTCAATGGAATATCACAAGGGCAGCCTCAGCCATCAAAGTGTCAATCTGAAGGCCAGGAGTATGAAGTGGTTCCTCGTTGCAAAACAGGACAGGCTTTTGTGGAAACCAAGTGTTTCCCTGTGTTCTAAGGAGCCTCTACTTAACCTGCGGGGCACACACCTTTAATGCCAGCACTCAGGAGGCAGAGGCAGGTGGATCTCTGTGGGTTCAAGGACAGCCTGGTCTACAGAAAGAGTTCCAGGACAGCCAGGGCTACACAGAGAAACCCTGTCTCAAAAAACTAAAACCCAAACAAAAAATAAATGTCCCTGCTTCTTCTATTCAGGCTTCTCAGTCTAACTTCTTGTTCTGGGACATAAGACCCTGGAAATCCGGGAAGCTACCCAGAAGACTCTGGCACCTGCTTCGAGGAGAGGGATGACATGGTCTCACTCGTGGACCCGAGCACCTGCTTGAGTATCCTCTTAAAAGCTACCAGGGATGAGAACCTGACAACCCAGTAAAGCCAAGTCCTTCATCCAAAGAACAGGAGGTATTAGAGGAGCAGGAGCAGGGGCCAGGTGGGGGAGGGGGAGTTTGGTGGTGGTGGTGAGGGCTAAGGGCTTGACAGGTAAAACAAGAAAGTAAGGAACCACTCTGTCTGTGGAACTCAGCTTAACCAGAGAGGGAAGAACCACTTTGAGGAAAAGCTAGGAAGACTAGAGGAAAAGCGAAAGGAGGTCATGACTCCTGCCAGGAAGCCCCAAGTCCAGGCTAAAGATTTGGTCCACAATTCCAGCAGATCCAACACTGGGTTGGGGGCAGTGAACCCACATGAAACATCCCAGACCCATGGTTATCTCACTAATGGGGACAAAAGGGTTGACAGCAATGACATCAAGATCTCCTGCCAAACTGGCAAGGCTAGACTCCTTGGTAAGCGGAGCTTCCCGGGACCCAAGACACTCTTTGACACCATGATTGATTCTCAAACACTACAGGTCTGTGTTCTCAGAGTGACCTGTCACTTCCCTTAAAGGATGGATGTGAGCCCCAAGCAGCCCCTTATCCCCTAGGAGTGATTTCACAGTACCCTGGGGAAGAAGCTGTCTCCAATGAGCACTGTATCTTTCATCTAGAGATCTTAAGGAACCTTAATAACAGCCACGCTTCATTATCCCTGCTTTGTGGTTGACGACACTGACTCACAGAAGGCTTCAGCGATTTTCTCATTCATGCTGGGGGTTATTACCAGAGCCATGAATGAGACACAGGTGAAACTCTACTTCACAAACCTTTAAACCTGTACCCTTTATAGTAGTAGAGTTTACAAAAATAATGACCCCTTTGCACTGAGAGTTCATGCCTTTGTTCTGTTATTAAGTCTGACTGAGGTGGGGTATAAGCATCCCCACCTCAGGACAGCCATCCAAGTGGAAGTCTTCTGTGTGAAGCAAGGTGGGAGAAGTTGTGTGTTTTATTGGCAGTGCCTGGACCACTCATAGTTCATTGTTTTCATCTGCCTACCCACCTGTCCCTCTATCCATCCACCTGTCACACATTAACTCATTCCAGCAATACACATCTGTCTCTATGACATCATCTGTAAGATAGGCATAGCAATATTACCATTGGCAAAGGCTGTTGGAAATTAAGATAATTTCTATGAAGCACATATGGTAAAC